AGCAACAAAGCTACGTTGGAAAAATACAAGTCGGCGGAGAGGAAAAGAACAAAACAGAAATTGAAACTGGAACTGATTGAACTGGACTGAAACTGTACTTTAAAAACTGTCCTTTCGCAAATTTTGAGGGCGCTTATATAATGTTACTTTTTTGGGGGGTGAAGATGACCATTGGCTCTTAGTGAAAGTGGGAATGAGTCAATTGTTTTTGGACTCTGAAATTGGTCTGCGTTTATCAACCAGGTCCTTCTAAGTGATTGAGGGCCAACGAATCGTTAGTCATCCAACACTAATATTCTAGACTCAAAATTTTCCGCGTACTTGGTATATGTATAAAATTTAATAAAATACTTTCCCATTTCATTTCACTGTAATTTATTGCTATTGCAATTTTTGCTCAGAATAGTCATGCAATTTTGACCGAGTTAAAAGATATATATATGATCTTCCCTATTCGTATTTATTAATATTTCCGAGGATATTTGGTGAGAATATTTTCTGAGGACGTCGCAGAGTCAAGGGATCAAGTTTTACGTTTGCATGGAGTAACGGCGAAGTATGAGGAAATCCTCGTCGGGTTAAGAAATTCGAGATTCTTTTGACCCGGATTCCCGGAATGGAAGTCGTTCGAGAGATTCCTACGACTCCGGTTCTTCCCCCGGCGTCGTCAAAGACAAGATGTCGGTACGTCATTAAACACCCGGTCGATCCGGAACCTGGCTGTGCTAATGAAACGCCACGGTGTTCTACGACTAACAGATCCCCGGAAGCTCTTCGCGTAATCGCGAATTTTTCCATAAAAATGGAAGAGAATTAACATTCCACGGTAGCCAGTCGGTATTATTAGCTCAATAGCATCCGAAGCCGCGAGCACGCAACTCGGACCAACTAATAAGCACCCCTAGTAACCTCCTTGCAGCCTTCCCGGTGGCTAGATGGCGCCAGTCGCGCCGGCGGGAATGGCCGAAAGGATACTCCCGGGAAAGAAACAAAGGGTAGCTCCGACACAAAAGGCGTTGCTCGTACTCGAATTCGCCTGGAAGCTGGCTGCGTTCACGTAGACGGGAATAGGCGTGTGCGTTTACAGGTGGACGAGGCGCGCCGTCATAAATCTGCCAAGCCATGGCAAATTAAATCATTATCTGGAAGCTGCGAGCAAATTGCGCCGATGCATGCCTCGTGGCTCCTCCCTCTTTCTCCTTTACCTCTTCCAGCCGTCTTATCCAAGTCCACCTTCGTTCCACGGCTTCTTCCATTGTTCTTGCCATTCTTTTTCCTCGACTATCACGCGCTGCGTTACCACCTCCGCGTTCTTTCTTCCGCTCCTCTGCCAGGCTACCACCTAGCGTATCCACCTCGCGCCGCTCCGGTTCCTCTCCACTTCCGCGAGAGTTTCCAGACCGCAGCCGTCGGATGTCGGGGATGTACGTTCATATTCGTAAATTTCGCCTTTCGGTTTTGTGGCGCGGCCGAAACTGCACTCGGGGGCCCCTGGCCGACTTAGAAATGTAATTTCGCCAGAACCGAACTCGCCCGATACAACTGCCACCAATTCGGGCTGTTTTATAAGCGCCAGACGCTCCGCCAGGCAGGAACACGGTCGTACAGAAATTGGCGGAAGATAGGCGAGGGGTGCCCCGTTTTCGGGAATACTTTAAACGAGTGGAGTGGGTGAAAGAGCGATTCCGACTGTGAGACGCGAAAGGGCTTAATTGGATATCATGGAGCGACAATTTCTAAAACGAAAGCAACCAGGTCGAACCTCGAACTATAATATTCGTATATCGCGAGATATTTAGCATCGTAGTCGTAAGAGCTGAACTTGAATAATATCGCAATGCTTAGCGGAACGCGATAAGCGTTGTTAACACTAGATTTACGGAACCCGTCAAGGGTTCTCTAATTATACAACGGTAACAGAATTAGTTAACTTACATTAAGATTATAAATATAATATATAATTGTTTGTAAATTAAATTAATCGTTAAATAAAAATGGCACGTGGTTTCCTTTACCTGTCAATCTGACAGGTGCCCTTAGAAATAGGTACATAGATAGCGTCCGTAAACCCAGTGTTAACAGAAATTCGGATTAATTAGATGGTACCTGGGAAATATGCACGCCTATCCCGACTAACCATGACCTACCATAATCGACTGTTTATTCCCACACTCTGACAACTTTCTTACAACTGATTTCTGAGACTGATTTCTGCAATTCGCAACTGACGACTGAGTTTAGACTGACTACTAACTTCTGACTTTAAGTTCTAACTGAACTCCAAGACTAACCACTTGTACCCTTATTTTAACCTCACACTCTGACTTCTTTCATGCTCAGGCTTTCTTCACGCGACCTCGGTGTGAACAGTACTTCGAAAGTTCAGGACGCAGGACTCAGAACTCTGTCATAAATATCCCTTACAATCAATCCTCTTGCAATCTCTATACGCAGTCACTTTCGTCCCATAAAGAGTAGCTGGGCAAATAGAAACTCAATGAATTAAAAATTGTCTTAAAGAATAATGAAAAATATTCTTTGCTTTGGAAATTGCCACTATTACCTTTTCTTTTTGTCACGTTATACATTTTCATCTGTATCTTAATCAATTGAAAATTGCATTATTGCATAGTGTAATAGCCATTCCTCTTGTTTTCCAAATTATCAATAGTACTCCCAATTATCCATGCCAGAAGTATACACGTCTTAATTAGGAATTGAAAAACGTATTAAACGAACGCCGTAAAATATTCCTCGCCTCGTTGAAGATATCTCACAAAGAACTGAAAACTTAAGAGAAAATAATTGGTTGCTTTGAAACAAATTATCCAAGAGAAAGAGAATCTGCATTTTCCGCGGAAAAATGCAGCTTTACTAGGACATTAAGAACTAAATCTCGCTAACTCGCGTTATCCTCTGCGAGCATACAAGCCCGTGTACAGTGTGTTATTCATCTACAGGCTCATGTGTATTTTCTTTGCCGCAAACGTTGTGTTTTCAAGTATACGTAAGCTGTTAAAGGTGAACCGAGATAGAATGCGGGAGAAAATTCAGCGAAAGGCCAGGTGTTACTTTTTAATAAAAATGCGTCGAATAACGTCTAGAGTTTCGCGTTCTAAATAATATTTCTTGAATAAATTATACCCTTTTCAAAAATACCGGTTTAGAAGTATTTTTGACGACACGAATAATCGCGATATTAAATTCTGTACGACAGACGAAAGTTTAAATCAGTCTCATTATACGTTGCTTCATATCGTGCATACGTATTATGTCTTAACAGTGGAAATAATAATAATAAATAACAATATATAGATAATGAACGATGGTAAAATATATTTGCCATGCAATCAGTTTTGTTCGTTTCGTTAAATGGAAACGAGTCCGAAGTATTTCTCTTGGTCGGTACTAAAATTCAAGTAGAGCATCTGTAGGATATATCAGACGCAGCGAGAGTCATTTTCCATTGCCCTATTCTACTTGGAAAATTTCCACATGCGTTTATTACCAATTCTCAGGCACAAAAATTCCAGGCAATTTCACACCCATGGTGACGGTAACCAGATTACTCTGTTCGAAATAAATATCATGTAAACCAGTGTTTCTCAACCTTCTCATCGTGCGATCTAAGATATTCGTTTGTGAAAATCATAATGTTTGTAAATAGCAGTTGGACAATGTAAATCTGTTTATAACGACACAGTTTATAAAAATTTAACAAACTGAAGTCACTATATAATAAACATAAATTATAAAAGAAGTTTTATCTGCGAATACTCTAAAATTTACCACGAATTTTGATTTATAATGAATTTAAATTTACTTTTCATTATTAATTTCATATAAATTTAACTCCTTACATATTACAATTCCCTGAGATTCTGTTACTCGTTATTCAGCGTTGTTTTCAACGAACAAGATGAAGAAGCGAGTAAGGCAACTGTCTGAACAAATTCCCAGTTATCTAGTTACAGTCTTCTTTGTCCAGAGCAAAATCTCTTATCTCGAAATACTACATACTATAAAAACGTGTTGGATCAACTGCAGAATCTTCTCAGAGGACAAAGGATTAATCATGGAAAGATGTCAGACTGACAAGCTAAGAAACACTGGTCTAAACCACCTTGTTGTACCTAAAATGACACAGAAGCAAAGAAACCGTGGGAATCAGCGAAAAGCAAGTAGATAAAAGTGCAAAACTCACCAGACCGTCGCAGGCGGACAAGGCGACCTGGGAATTCGGATGTCCCTGAATGAAACCTCGATAATGGCACTTGCTTGAGCGATTTTTTGGCCGGCTGCGCACGTGTAAGTCTCGTTTCCGTCTTTCAACGACCATCCCAGGTCCGATGAAGTTGTCCACGGCAGTCAGCTCGATGTGATACTCGTTACCAGCCACGGCCAATCGATAGTGGACCACTGGCCCATACTCGTGATGGTGGTGGGTCACGTTGTGCGAGATAAGCTCCCCTCTGTGGGTCACTTTTCGTGGTATCACTATCTCGTGCCCGTGGACATGCTCCTCCAGGGTGTATATGCCTGAAGAGAGAATGATTCCAGTGAGTTCGGTTTTCTAACTCGAGTACCCTTGCATGTGATAGTCGACCATGCTGGTACACACTGGGAATAGTACATAGCGAGGTCTGCAATTAAAGCATCGTGCTGCACCATCGTTTAATACAGGTACGCGTTGACCCAGGGTTGAGTGCAGCATTCTGCTTATACTATACATGTTTCTCCATTGGTCTAACACGAAGGTGTATTCTACGCAGCCTTGACTGAGGTTATAGACCTCGAATGATCAAATATATAACATTTGACGTCTCAGCGATTTTATGATTCTGATGTGATGTGAAAAATATTATGCAGAATTGTTAAGAATTGTTGTGAAGTAACAAAGAAATTCGTAGTTCCAGGTGATTACTCAACTAAATATTAAGATAGCTGGAGACTGAGATTGAGAGTGAGTCCTAAACAAAATCTCCTGGAGACTGAGTTGTCTAAACAAAAATTTAATAGTAAAAGTACTTCCGTTTTAACTAATTAAATCACTTCAAAGGAGAAATTTTGTATCATATTATAATATTAAGTAACTAAATAAATAATAAATAAACATGCAAAAACATTATGCATTTAGTTACCCAATATTATAAAATTATAAAATTATAAAATTATAAAATGTTCAGTTGTTCAGCTTCAACAAGTACTCTTAAGGTAATACGTAGACATTATCCATCGACTCTAAAGCTCCTCTAAAATTTACACCAACCCCCTCATCGCCAACCGTATTTCAACAATGTTACTTCACATCGGATATAAGGGATCTCACGTCAATGAAGGAGCCGACTAATTCATTTTGCGCAAGAGCATTTTTCCTTGAGTTTGATCGGTAATGCGCGATAAATCTCGCGCGAACGTTCCGCAAAGGAACAGCGACCGCGTAAAACAACGTTATATATTAATTGACTGTTTACCGGCGGCGGTTTCGCCGAAGCAATACGAGATAACGCGTATTGTGGCACGGGCAAGTGGGCAGAGGCTCGTAAACGCCGACAGAGACGGCAGAATTCAACCCGAGGGAGGGCGTGATTGATTACGGACACCCAGCATTGCAGCGGGCGATATTTCAAATAAATAATTGCATCAAACGTTGCCTGGTGCTTCATTAAGGCAGCTATCGCGACATGATTGTAAATCGGCCCAGCGGAATATCGCTCGGTTATTATTCATATCCATGAACGTCGTCTTAAGTAATTGTTTCGGTCCACGCAGATTTTCCCCCGTGATCGCTGCGACTGCGGTTCACGTTATTTTAGTTGCTTCGTTAGTTGATAAAGTTTAATGCCTCCCGACGTTTCCATCTTAATTCTGTCGTGGTTCCCGGTGTTGACAGGATAATAAAACTTCATTTTTCTCCGTAACTGGAATTATTTTCAAAATATAATAACGTTATTTAATAGAAAAGGGTAGCAAAACTAGAATTACTTTAGATATCTTGTTTTCCTAATAATTAAAAATATACAGGTATTTTTTTAATAAAAACTAACCTAACCTCTTAATTGTTATACAGGGTGTTTCATTTAAGTGAGAACTTAAAGAGAAGCAGAAGCTACCAAAAGAGAGGAAATTATTTAATATGCATACGTCAAATTAATTTTTTTAAAATGAAATATACTGAATTATAATAAATATTTTTCTAACTGCTTCAGACTCTCGCATTTTACAATCTCATTTAAAGGTGCTCGGTATATTTACAAGTACGTAGTTTTATAGTATTACCCATTACAGTGAGATATTACATGTCCATTCTTCGAGTACCGCAAATTTTTGCTTTTCAGTATTTCTTTCTACATATTTCGAATTGGAATAAGCAAAGTTTAAATTTCATAAACCTCTGTTCCGTCCTGTCCTTTGTGTCTCTGATATACCTTGGAGCTAGTGAACGCACGGTATGATCTATCGTGCAGCAAAGCTGGAACTTTATAGGCGCATTAATGGCATTAACTGCCTCGTAAAAAATATATATATATACCAAATAATGTTTGCAGCCGGCTACACAATCACGATATCTCATTAATTTTCATGTTCTGGTTAGACAAGCGGGACACCGTGCAATTTGTCCGTTTTTTATTCCAGCTCATGGAACTCATTATGCCGTGAAGTCAACGGTGAATAGAATATGCAGGCTGGGGAAACAGTGTTCGTGGCGGATTGGATACTTTTCAACCTTCCTTTCCAACTTTTATTCACTTAACACGGCGTTGCCACCGTTGAAAATTACATTACATTCATTTTCAGCTCGTTCTCCTTCCCACTTTTTTCCATTTTTCTTTTCACCTTGGCATTATTATCTATTTTTCATTCACGCAGTACTTCGTTACATCGCATAATTGCGACGCTCGTCGCGTAAGCTCCATAAGAACAACCAATGCACCATCTAATAAAAAACCTTTATTAAAAACACGCATCTCGAATAGTTTCCTTTTTAACACCTTGGCATTATTATCTATTTTTCATTCGCGCAGTACTTCGTTACATCGCATAATTGCGACGCTCGTCGCGTAAGCTCCATAAGAACGACCAATGCACCATCTAATAAAAAACCTTTATTAAAAACACGCATCTCGAATAGTTTCCTTTTTAATAGAATTCATCAAAAAATTTTGCTTTTATTCGATCCCTGTTTTACCATAATCCTCATTTCGTTGATTCCCAAAATATTCTATCGAAATACCTTGCCATTGGTTATCGTCGCTTCCGTGTCCTCTAAAATTCAAGATGGCAGCCGACGATGTACAAAAACGCGGGAACATAGCCTCTCTTCGCGATACGTCGATAAATTCGTCATTCCCGATTCATTGTCACTGGCGCGAAAGGTATTACCGAGGCAAGATAACAAATTATACGTTTCAAAGCTATGTCTGGTCGATCAGAGCAAATACCGAAATACGCCATAAAGCACGCGAAAAACGAGACGAACCGCAGAGCAAGTAAGCACGAACGAACGATTACGTGCAATATCATGGCGGACAAAAATTATTCGGAATAATAGCGTAACGAACGGTCGAGCGTCGGCGACCACAATATGAAAAGCGGTTGGCTGATCGAGCGAGAACGCGTGGCCGAATAAACGACTATTATGCATCGTAAAACTGGTGTAATAATTTTCGATTGATTTAATGGGCCGGCACACGCGTCCGGGTGAACAGGTTAGAAATAAACCGCCGTAGATTCGATTATTTGCTCTTCATCGATCGCGAGCCCTCGCGTCACTAACGCCCCTTGCTTTCCCTGGCACATACGACGCGACACCAGCGCCTTCTTCTAACACTAACGGCCTACCGCCAAGTGACGTCGGTAATTTGTCACCGCAGTGTCCAGCCAGTGATAAGTGTCGATCGGAACCGCGCGGTTAAAGGACTACGAACGTTGTCACGTCGCGTCGGAAAGCAAGACAGAAGAGAATTATAACGCGTCTCGTCGATCCAGATGTCGCAAGTCGGCGTGTCACGCGTTGATGTATAACGCTTTGTCTCGGACGACCCCGAGCGTAACCTTTCGCAAGGGAGGTTCGTTGTGCATTCTTATCGTTTCAAATGGACCAAAGTAGCGTGTAAAGCACGGAAGTTGACGCTCGCGACGGGAGAGGAGCGAGAGGGCATCGTGTTTGCTTCACTTCTCCTTTGATGCTTCCGAAAGCCCCACTTTTACGTTCTTTAACGACACGTGTTGACACGTAGCAGGATAGGTTATGTCGGTGTTCTTTTTACCGTACGCTGAACAGTTAACACTGATCCTATGTCTACGCTCGTGCTTTGTCGCTCTATCCCATTAGGCCTCGACGTATCCTATTGTTCCCTTTGTCGTGCGATATAATCCGATTTGTAGCTGCGCTACTAGATAATAATAAAAATCATTTGCTCTATTTTTGTAATTTTGTTATAGAAGGTTGAACTTATTATTATCATACAGTCTATGACTAATCAGACCTGCATTCCTCGTGCGTGTTTACATCTAAGCTTTGCATAATCTGTGGAGGTTAACGGTCGCTGTCTTTCTCCTTCTTGTTTATAATTTTTCCCGGGAAAATTATTCACGTAGACAAATGACGTTTCTTTTTCGAGAAATGTTAGATCCGCGCGATGAACTTTCAGATTCGAAGTTCCCTTACAAACACTCGAGCATAATTTATGCAACAGATAACGTATCAGGGTCTGATCATCAAGTATTTCGCAATATCCTTTTGTCCTGTATAGAAAGGCGTAAGCGTGAGGCAAAGTTCTCGTTTAAGAAAAAAAAAAAGAAAAAAAATGGAAAAATCCAATTTCATCCGTTACCCTCGAGAGAAAGGACCGGAGATTAGATATCAAAGAAAATAACGTCCAGACGCAGGTCTCTATTAAGCCAGTCGATTGTGCTCGCGGAGGAAAAATCTGGAACGGCCCCGTCCGTTTCATTGAAGACGATATCCGATCTCGGTATGCAGATTGGATCTCAACGACGTTAACTGTCAGGCCGTACTTACATGAAGACATATTACCGCAGCTGAACCGTGCCTGCATTCCCGACGTCCTTTTCCCTCTGTCCTCCTCGGCCAGAGGCTAACCACAATTATTCTATTAGACGTTAGATCACCGTCGACAATAGTAAATTGTAGTTCGACCGATCGATCGGTGTCCCGCGACGAATCACGCTCGATGGTACATTTGGTACTCCACCACGCCGCATCGTGGCGCTGTTTACGGTCTCCTTTACTCTCGCTAACGCGCAGGATGGGCCGCGTTTCCATGTGTCGCAAAATTGATAACGGACTTAACGGACGGATCGCGTAACCCTCTTGGTAACTTATCATTCGTCCGCGTGCCATTTACGAGCATCTTGGAAAATATATATCTTTGAAAATACTTAATAAAGTTCATGGTTTCTTCGCGAATATTTATTAAAATGGATGTCTTTTCGTACATAAAGGGTGTCCCAAAATTTGCATTTTGCACCATTTAGACGGTAAAGTGTTGTCAACGATAAGAAAAAGACAGAGT